AGTTTATAGGCTAAACGTGTCTCAATAAATTCTTTTGTCGCCCATCGCAGTCAAGGTAAACATGTGGAAAATGAAGCATCCAGGTGTATCCTAACACTGCTTTCTTTCTTTAGCACTACTTGACCATGTTAGGAGGAGCTTTGGCGATTCCTTACATTCTGAGTGGTCCAATGTGTTTTGCGAACAACACGCTTGCCATCAGTGAAGTACTGAGCACCATTTTCTTCGTTTCTGGTCTTGTAACCTTGATGCAGAGCACTTTTGGAGTCAGGTATTGAAAAAAAATGAAGTAAATTTCTAAAAGGTGTTTCCCACTAGCACATGAAAAAACGGTACAAGCAACATCCACTGATGCAGTAGCGTCATTTGATAGACACTTTTTTTCCAACAAAAGGCGCTAATTATCAACATCTAACTGCTTTTGCACAATTAATATCGAAAAGCAGCCTTCTAAAATGAATGTTTCTAAGATAACGTGGCTCGAAATGACTCTGTTCGCACAGTCGTGCTAGCTATAATTTCCACGTTAAACCAATCACTTTGTCCGGCAATCACTCATGCAACTTTAACTGCCAAAAATATGTCTCTCTACGACAATGACTTCATGACGTGAAAACGTTCCACTTATGAAATTAAAGTTAATCCCCTAAAATGTCAGACAAAGGAGTTTTATCTACTGATGACTTTAGAATTCTGTTTATCAATGAGAAGAGTTTATAACTTTAAATGATTGCAGGCTTCCTATCGTTCAAGGAGGAGATTATGGTTACCTGGCTCCAACATTTGCCATTATGGCTCTTCCACAGTGGAAATGCCCGATACCTGAAGGTCAGTTTCAGTGGTTATGATATTAGTTAGCCCACGTTACGCCTAAATTTAAAATCTCTATAAAAACTGGAAACAATGTATTACCTCCACTGTTAACAATGAAACAAATAATATGTCGGTAGACCACTCGACCTATCCGAGTAGGGTAAGGAACACATTTTCCATTTTCAAGGAGTTGGTCAACAACACAAAAACATTGTACCTCTACGAAACATTCCTGTACTGATACTTCTTTCCCCAAAAAGTAACATTTTAACGCCCTTACAGAAAAAGCGAATATGATCCAGCTACCACAACTTCACGATCCACTTCAATTTTGCCAAGTTTTAAGGCCATCGGTTTTAACCAAAAATGAATGAATTCCTTCATCGAGCCAAATTTTGTTCGTTAGAGACTAAGAATGGTCAATTGGACCGATTTATGGCGAAAAAGAAAGTTTTGGAGAAAATTTGTGCTTTTCTTTAATTTTATTAGGCGTCTAAGATGTTTTCTCAATTTGAGCTAATCCGTCGGTCAGAGAGAGAAAATATGGCTAAAAAAAGGCAAATGGGATATGAGACCGGTAGCCCAGTAGGCCCTGTTTCCTAGCATCATGATTATTGTTGTGAAGTCTGGAAAAAGCAAGGCATGGTTACAAAATCAGCATACCAGTTTCTCTAAAACTAAGCTGGAAACTGATATTCAGCGTAAGGAAATGAGGTCACTAAATTTGCATTTGCCAAAGCAAAATTTATTCCACTACTCTAAAAATTTCTTATTTTCTGAAAAGTGAAAAAGTTTAAGTCGGTCGGGCAACGTTAAACTAGAAAAAGAGGGATGGCGTAATTTAAGCAAACTGATACTAAAAGCTGTTTATCAGGCAAGGCGTTTGAAAAAGAACTGCGTAGCTTTGCAAAAGAACGACAAACACTTACAGTGTGACTACTCCAAGCAAGGCCCCCCGACAAAATTTTCCACAAATTTAACGAATAAAATTCGTGGAGGTTAACAATAGTTTTCCAACAAATCATCCTCGTAATCAACCTGTACATTACAAAGACAACAGATATGCGGTAGTTTTCGCTAATTTGTTGGAAAACTATTGGTAACCTCCACGATTTTATTTCTTAAATTTGTTGAGTGGCTTTGGTTGGAGTTGTCGCACTGTAACCCACTTTTCTCTGTGTACCGTTTGATTTCTTAATTACTTGATGTCTTCCTATTCAAAGAAAATAGTAATTCAACTGAAAGTTCACTTATCAACAATGACGACATATGGAAAACTCGCATGAGAGAGGTAAGGGTTTTGGTCTTGAAGTTTATTCTCACTTTACTGCAAACAGCTTGTATCGTAATCACAATTCTTCTGTCTCCGTCACGAGCTCGACATCAGTTATCTTCACCTAATTCATCTTCACAAGAAAGTGTACCGGCAGACAAAAGATCATCTTCAAGTAAATGACTTTGTTGCTTGTCTTAAAACGTTCCTAAAGAATCAGAAATTTACCAAGCCTCGTTTTGCGAACACTGTTTTTCCATTCGATTCAGTCCTCGACACTACGTCAGCACTCTTCAAGCTTAAAATCAAGGAGGCCATGAATATTGGATGTTAAAACCCCTCCGTAAACAAGCAACTTGCAACTTAAGGGGGTCTTATACTCTCAGATATAAATTTTTCTCCAGAAAACCATTTTTTTGGAACATGAAGATTCAACATCCCTGTCCATTTGTAAATCGTATTTTGAAACGATTTTCCTCTAATTACTCCTGAATTTACGTTTAAATTAAGAAATCTGAACACTTCAACATAGCAACACCCATAGCAACCATTGTTTACAGTCTAAAAGTACTCACAAAATGGATTCAATTCAGTACATTTTAATGATACTTTACACAAACG